CAATACTGCGTAATATGACATTTTGTAGTGCTTTGGTAACAGTTCTACAGCATTTTTTTAGTATTAGTAACAGTTTTATGGCACTTGCAACACAATAAGGTCATACAAGTGCCAAAGACTAGAGGTGTTACAAGAGGGTAACAAATATAAAACAGAAGGAGGAGAGATCAGGACGATAGATATTTGATAGGAAAGAAGGAGCAAACCACACCAGAACACCTGCCAACCACCCACTGCCCAAGACAAGAGGTGTTACAAGAAAGTACTGACAACACAATAAATCGTAAGGCTTTTTTTTTTTTGCCAAAGATCAGAGCACACAAAGCGACAATGAGAATGAGAAGACTCTCCAAGAACATGCTAACAAACAGAACAAAAGCTCCAAAGATCATAAATGAAGATCAGAACAAGCAAAACCGAGGCGATGGAAATGGAAATCAGCAAATCATCAGACTCAGACCCCTAAACATCAGTCGACAACAGCAAAGTCAAGGGAGTAGAAGAGTTCAAATACCAGGGAAGTGCGTTCGCCCAAGACGGAAAGATGGTCAAAACAATAGAAGCCAGAATAAAAAATGGTCAATATTGCATGTAACACACCATCTGACCCTATTTCCTTCACAACCCAACATCACGGTGGACATAAAGCACCGATTTATCAACATAGAAGTCCTTACAGGGAATCAGACTTACTCTGCTCACCTCTCTAGCCTCAAAAGCACAAAGTCTGCATTGACTATCAAGGCACCCCGGAAAATGCAGTTAACAAGAGAATGAGAAACATACGAAAGAAGTAGAGGAAAATGACGATAGTAAAGATGAGGAAAGAAAAAAAGCAGCAGTTCCCTGTGTGTTGTTCCGGCACAGTATGAGCATGACATTGATAAATCTGTAATTTACCAATGGACACTATTTCTTTCACAACCCAACATCACGGTGGACACAAAGCACCGATTTATCAACAGCATCTTCATACCGATACTTTGTTACCAAGCCCAAACATGGACTACAACAAAGAGCAATCGAAGCAAAATCAACGTCTTGTAAATGAGATGCTTTCCACACAAAAAATTAACCATCACAAGAAGAGAGAGGGTGAGAAACGAGACCTCTGTCCTGAGAACTAGATGGCACAGCTCCCTGCTTACAATACATAGATAGACAAGCAACAAATTAAACGGTTTGGGCATCTGACAAGACTACAACTAGACAGTATAGAGGTGAAAGCACACAACCAGAAATCAGACAGGAACAGAAAAAAGAGTAGACCCAGGAAGTTTTAGTTTTAGTAAGGTTTCACGGCGCTCGCAACTGCATGAGGTCATATGAGCGCCAAGGGGTGGATGTCAACAGAGAATTCCTTACAGGGAATCAGACTTACTCTGCTCACCTCTCTAGCTTCAACAGCACAAAGTCTGCTTCGACTATCAAGGCACCCCAACGCCTATATTAAAAATGTAGATAGGACACTGAGGTCTCAATATACATATATAGGGAAACAGATTGAGTCATTTGTTGCCCTCAGGTGTATCAAGTAGTAGGAACTGTCAGTGGCATCCCCCCCCCCCCCCCCAACTTTAAACCAGACAAACCACTGAAAGGCAATACATACATGATACATGAAACATATTTTTACAATTGATACCACCAAAAATTACAATCTCACTCACATGAAACATATTTTTCCTATTGATACCACCAAAAATTACCATCTCACTCGGATTCAAACCTCAAACACTAGAGATTGGGTCAAAGTCAAGCCAGCCACAAAATAGACACGGAGAAGGCATTCTAATGAAGTCATTGAGACAAAAAACATGGCACTCGCTCGAGGAAATAAAAGGACATCGGTGAAATAACAGCGTTTTTAAAACTGCCGAAACAAGCAATTCCACCGGGCTGTATGACAGTCTTTGATCAGTTTCGCTGCATCAACAAACAAACCACTTTGATCAAAGCCACTTGGACACAAGCTATGAAACGATTACGGTAAAGGTCTATTTGTGGAATTTGAGGTCCCCCTTCTAAAAATAAGTTTACAATTGTCTTGTGCCCCTGATGCAGACCTGCCAATCTACGAAATCTACAAATCAGGATCTCAAGGGGGAAAAATTTGGATCTGGGGAAAATGATATGGAACAACGACAAATCACCAGGGTGACTGCCAAGCCAACTTAAAAATTTATCTTGGGTGTACATAAGGCATGAAGGCAGAGTTAGTTTTTAGAAAAATCTGGCGCAACAGAAGGAATAAAAAAAAAACGGGATACATGCGATCAAAATCAGGATACTTGAGATTTGGGGCAAAAAAAATCAGGATATCCCGATTAAATCGCGATGAGTGGCAGGTCTGATGATGTCATAGCCACACTCACGTTAGCTCCACAGAGAAAGGACACCATACATGAGCATATTAGGTCAAATAAGTTCAGAATGGAGACATCAACTAGACCTTTGCTGAAAAAGCAAGTAGTAAAACATTGAATGTAGTAACACTACCACTCTATACAAACAGAATTACTAAAACCGGATCTAAAACAAAAGTCTATTTTGTGTTCAACTGTACAATAAATAATACTCGTTAGATAAAAGACCTCAAATATAGAAGCCTTTTTCATTTCAACGACACAGAGAGAGCCCACATCCAAACCATTTCTTATACTCAAAAACATTTGTGAAGCGTGCTGACAAAATGAGTTACTTCTCGGATCCAAACCTTATAGAAATAGATGCATCACACGCTTTTAGGTGTAGTTTTTACATTTTATTAGTATGGAATAATAAAAGGCACGTTATACAAAAAGAACATGGCATCAATAGAAAACCTACTAATCTAACCCTATAGTGTCGACCTTTGGCCAATATTTCCGTTCGTGGATTGCGAGAAGTAACTCATTTTGTCGGCACACTTCACATTTGACATGTGGACATTCAGAGTCACAGACTACAGTGGGGTCAAACATTCGTGGTGCAACTTATTCTCAAATATCTCTTCAACGGGTGAAACAATGCCACCAATAATTTGCACAGCAATTTTTATCAATTCGTCTTAACTTAATCACATTTTTCCACACCAACTAAGGCTTGATTAAAAAACTTTTCTTAATAAATTTTTATAATATACTAAAATCTCGATCACACGAAAAATATGATTTTTCAGAGCACTTCCCACTTCTCGCACACATTTTTCATACACATATACGCATATATGGCCTACGTCAAAGCTTGCCAATGACACTTTTTCGGGACAAAACTTCTAACAAGAAATTACTTTTATTGTGAACATATCTTTGCCCTACAGGTACCACAACATACGTTCAATAACACGCATAATGTTGCCATTACAAAAAAATGCCATCGACTGGGATTTTAAATTAATATTTAAGGAATTTTCTATAATACAGTGCGCAGGAGTTTGAAAAAATATTCACTTGTTAAGACAAATTGATGCAAGTCATTGTGCAAAAGCAGGAGTTTGAAAAAATATTCGATAGGTAAGGAGATATTGGTGTAAGTTGTGCAATGCATTTTTGACCGACTATAACACTTGCTCAGCACACTTTTACAATCTTTAAAGTCATACTGTCCACAACCTGCAAACCAATACTTACACACATTACTACATCTCTAAAAGCCGGACGCACATTTAACCAGCCACTCAACATCTGAACAAATTTTTACAATCGTATAAAACGTACGTTCGGTTGCTTGAGCAGAGACAAGAACACAGATACAATAACAATCAATCAGTTTCAGGAAAATGTTGTTTTTGTAAAGTGTTTTACGGCGCTCGCAACTGCATAAGGTCATATGAGCGCGCGGGACATACCTAATATTTTCAGTTGGTAGGAAATTTTGCATTTTGCCCAGGTGGCGGCCGAAGCCTACTCTTATCGATTTTAGACCACCAAGGGATCTTTAACGTGCGCAACTTGCACAAGGGCCCTCTGAGATTTTTCGCCCTTGTCCGAGAAGGCTAGGTGTAGATCTTTCCTACCAGAAGATCAGGGGTGTGGCTGAAAGACAGCAGTAAGAAGAAGCCAAGGAGTAGCAGTAGAAAGGCTGCAGAAAGAGTCAGGAGCCCAGAGGAGGGGGCAAAGGAGGTGAGGGGGTGGGGACAGAAAGTGGAAATGAAAGCAGACAACAGAACATTGCTAGAGAGCAGGAAATGAGGTGAAAGGAGACAAATTTAGAGAAGAAAATTTTTCTGTCGCTACCCGGATTCGAACCCGGGACCTTTCGAAGGAGAGGCCAACACCTTAACCTCTAGGCCACGAGAGCCCCCTTTTCAGGAAAAAGGAAGACTGATAGACAGAAACAAAACCTAAAGAGTCAAGAAATAGTACTTACCAACTTACCCGAAGCACCCTCCAATCACCCAGTCTTAAAAAGTCAAATATTCGAACCAGCCACACAGTACCAAAACATTTCTGTACAATCTTAAAAGTGGCATGATCAACCAAACGCTCAGTACACTTACAATACTCATTATCAGACCACATTTTTTACTAATTCGGAAAACACATTCTCTGAAACAATTTAATACAATACAGACACAGAGAGAAATTGTTTTGTTTTAGTAGCACAGAGAGAAAGCAAAAACTTTTGTTTGAATAAACGGAAACACATCGACAAAAACAACAGTCATTTAATTTTGGGAGAAAGTAAGGACAGACAGAAAGGAAAGAAAAGATGTCGGATCCACCAGTGGTGCCCTCCAAACACTCACAAGAAAGCATGCATCATTTCCCAGAAAAACCGATGTCATAACTATAAAGTACTGTGAATGTTTCATTAAAAAAAGCTGTGTCTGCAGGTAAAGCTTCTAAAATTAAACAGAACACATTAAATCTTTTTCTAAAAGCATCTTAAAAAAGCCATTTAAATCTTTAAAGACGTAGCAGGCACATATTATGTCTGACCAGTAATAGCAGACCACAGGCAACATTGACGCGCATTTCAAACCATCATACACAAATCAAAAGTACGACTTTGCACGTGTTATAGAGAGGCAAGTTTTTGCTTGCGTTTACTATAAGAAATTCAGATAACAGAAAGCAGAACAGAAAAATCTATGTGGTTAGCAAAGTATAGGGCGGCTTGAACAGTTGTGGAATGAGCGTAACGCACATCCTCAGATAGTTAAATAAGAATACAGCTGACTCACATAAAATCCCTAAACAGTGAAAGAAACAGAACAGGTTTTTCAAATAAGGAGAAGATAAAATTTGTTTTCAAAATTATTTAAAAAGGTGTTTCAATTAAAAAGCAGCTGACTCAGATAAAATCCAAGTCCACCGGTACTAAAGATATCTTCACATTCCACCACAGACGTTCAGACATTATCAGAGACTTCTTTTAGAAAATGCTGAATTTACAGCCAACAACAATCAACCCGCACATATTCAAATATACATAAATTTTATTTAAGCAAAGAAAAACACAATGACATAATAAATAATGGTAATTTGTAACAAGGGAAGCAGTCGGCCAATAGATGTCTCTGTATCGCTCCTACAGCCAGCAGACAGCTAATAGATGTCTCTGTATCGCTCCTACTGCCAGTAGACAGCCAATAGATGTCTCTGAACCGCTCCTACTGCCAGTAGACAGCCAATAGATGTCTCTGAACCTCTCCTACTGCCAGTAGACAGCTAATAGATGTCTCTGGACCGCTCCTACTGCCAACAGACAGCTAATAGATGTCTCTGTATCGCTCTTACAGCCAGTAGAAAGCCAATAGATGTCTCTGTACCGCTCCTACTGCCAGTAGACAGCTAATAGATGTCTCTGTATCGCTCCTATTGCCAGCAGACAGCTCATAGAATCAGATGTCTCTGTATCACCCCTGCTGCCAGCAGACCGGTAAGTGATGTCTATGTGTCGTTTGAACGTCCAGTAGACAGGGAAGAGACACCTCTGTGCCTCATCGGTACTGCCAGTTTGGGTATCCAGTTGTCCGTTCTGTCCGGCCTGTAACGGCTGAGACGCTCCATAAGGCACAGGTCAGAAATCTGTCGGCGTAAAGATATTTTCAGTAAGAATTTTACTGAACTTGCAACACAAATTTGTCATATGATTATTGAGGGTTAGAGGTGTTACAAGAGAGTAACATACAAAGAACAAAAGAAGAAGGAGATAAGGACAACAGATGTTTGATAGGAAAGAAGGAGCAAACCACACCAGAGCACTCGCCAACCACCCACTGCAGTAAAGAAAAGTAAGTCGACACAATAACAATTTGTTGGTACAGGGAAAAAGTAAGACAGAAACAACAGTGGGGAACAAAAGAAGAATTGTCGACCAAAGGTGCCCCACAAAGGTGCCCCACAAAGATGCCCACAAAGATGCCCACAAAGGTGCCCCACAAAGGTGCCCCACAAAGATGCCCACAAAGGTGCCCCACAAAGGTGCCCCACAAAGGTGCCCCACAAAGATGCCCATTGGGCAGTCGAAATGTGTAACTAAATGACAGAATGAGCTATGAGCCAAATGTTATGTTTTGTTTTAGTAGAGGCTTTACAGCCAGAAGATTAGAGGTGTTACAAGAGAGTAACAAACATAAAAAAGAAGAAGGGGACATAAGGAAGACAGATGTTTGATAGGAAAGAAGAAGCAGACCACACCAGAGCACCCACCAACCACCCGCCGGCCACATGTGATGTGGCATTTTGGTAATATAATACTATGGACATCAGATTAAATAGGAAAACAGTGTTTATTTCACTGCTTTGGTTCCAAAGTTAAAGTCACTTGAGGTTGGGGAGCCAAAAACAACCAGTGGTGAGAAAATCAACGTCTTGTCCAAGATTGTTTTAGTAAAAATTTTACGGCACTTGCAACACAATAAGGTCACATAAATGACCAAAGATTAGAAGTGTTCCAAGAGAGTAACAAACATTTTTAAAAAGAAGGAGGAGAGATAAGGACGATAGAGATAGATGTTTGTATTGACATAGGAAAGAAAGAGCAAACCGCACCAGAGCACCCGCCAACCACCCACTGGGAACAGCTGAGCAATACGAACACAGCACTGTCGCTACACAAACAACAGTTGTTACCTACCACCTATGACGATGAAGCGTTTGTTCCTTTGTACCCCTGTCCTGACACACGTCCGGTCCTCTTGCTTTTCATGGGGGTACCTCCAGGACTCCTGAAGGGGGGGGGGGACAAACAGTTGAGTAAATCATCAATTTTTTTTTAGTAAGAGTTTTACGTCACTTACAACACAGTAAGGTCATTTAGGTGCCGAAGATAAGAGGCGTTACAAGAGAGGTTTGTTTGTTTTTTTTCTAATAGAGGGTTTTACGGCGCTCGCAACTGCATAAAGTTATATGAGCGCCAAGGGGTGGGTGTCAACAGAGAAGTCCTTACAGGGAATCAGACTTACTCTGCTCACCTCTCTAGCTTCAACAGCACAAAGTCTGCTTCGACTATCAAGGCACCCCGGAAATAGCGGGTCAAAAGAGTGTGACAAACATACAAAAGAAGTAGAGGAAAATGACAATAGTAAGGATTAGGAAAGAAAAAGCAGCAGTTCCCTGTTGTAGATCAGGCACAGTTATGAGCGTGACATGAGTCAGCCCATTTACAATTCTACCGTGTTTGAACGAGATATGTCCCCCCCTTTGGGAATGGCCTAAAGACACTAGTCAGTGGCACTGCCCCAGGGGGTGGTTACAAGAGAGTAACAAACACGAAAAAAAAGAAGGTGAGTTTAGTCTTAGTAGAGGTTTTACGGCGCTCGCAACTGCATAAGGTCATATGAGCGCCTGAAGATTAGAGTAGTTACAAGAGAGTAACAAACATAAAAAAGAAGAAGGGGAGATAAAGACGATAGATGTTTGATAGGAAAGAAGGTGCAAACCACACCAGAGCACCCGCCAACCACCCACAAGTAAATTAGAGTAAAAAGAAGAACATTAACTTATAACTATCATTTAGAGATGGGGAAAAAAGAGAGACAGATAGACAGACAGACAGACAGACAGACAGACAGACAGACAGACAGACAGACAGACGGACAGACGGACAGACGGACAGACGGACAGACGGACAGACGGACAGACAGACAGACAGACAGACAGAAACAGGAGAAGGAAAGAACAAAAGTAGGGCCACCCACGGGCATCATCCAGCCACATGCAGTAAGTTCTTTTTTATTCTTTTTTTTTAAAGTTGAGATTTTACAGCGCTCACAACTGCATAACCTCATATGAGCGCCAAGGGGTGGATGTCAACAGAGAAGTCCTTACAGGGAATCAGGCTTACTCTGCTCATCTCTCTATCATTTTGACAGACTGCTATGCAAAGCGTACAGATCGGATTAACAAGTAAATTTCCTCTTTGGAAAGTGGTGGCACAGAGTTCCCCACGTCGTATGGATACGATCGTAAAACAAAACATACGGAGAGGGCTAAATCCACTCCACCCTTGCCCTATTTAAAAATAAAAAACTCTGAACTGAAAACCCCTGCAATGAGGATTCAAACAAAGATCATTCATACCATGGTTCAACATGATAACAACTCAGCCGCTAACCACATATCCCTGTCAGAGTGTGAACATACATGGCCCTATAAACATATTAACAGACAAATACAGCCCTGCACATTTTTTAGTAAGAGTTTTATGGAACTAGCAACACAATAAGGTCTTTGTTTTGTTTTAGTAGAGGTTTTACGGCGCTTGCAACAGCATAAGGTCAAATGAGCGGCAGAAGATTAGAGGTGTCACAAGAGAGTAACAAACAAAAAAGAAAAAGGGGAGATAAGGACGATAGATGTTTGAAAGGAAAGAAGGAGCAAACCACACCAGAGCACCCGCCAACCACCCACTGCCCTGCATTGATAAAGTACTTATCCTTGATCGATGAAAAGTACAAATTCCAGAAAGACACGGACGTAAGACAGTTACCTTTGTAGAGTTGTGCGTTTGAGGACATTACGGATGTCGACCACGTTACTGTCGCTGAGGAAGAGAAAAACACAACACATTGAACTGTCAGTCAGATCTTACACAGGTTATAATAATAATAATGGTATTTATATAGCGCATATCCAGGCTCAAGAGCATGATCTATGCGCTTTACAACTATTATTACCCCAGCAGACCCTCTGAGAACACTCAGAAACATTCTCGGCTTCCGCGGAAGCATACAGTGCAAGCTGCAGATTTCACGCGCTCAAACACTATCAAACTGACAAGATCGTTCACTGTCTATAGCTGGGTACCCATTTCCATATATAACTAGCTGGGCCCCCTTTCGATAAAAGGAATGATCGGAGCATTAACATTAACTGAAAGTCATTGGCCTACTATATTTACACTCTACTGGAATGGAGCAATAAATCTTGAGAGATGCAAAAAATTAGAAGGTCTACATATATACTCTCAAAACAAAATGCGCCTCGCGAAATATCACTTCCGGATTTTCTAAAATTACAGAGACAGAAGCGTCGGCCTACAAAAGCGATCGGCGAAATAAACAAATTTAGCTTTTTGCAGCAAAACCGTCTCAAAACTTAAAAAACCAAGGGCGTCATGATCTGGGGAATATTTTAAAGAATTTTTTGGCGAAACCCGCATGTCGATCGATGCAGCCATTAAACAGCCTTTTGAATAGCAAAATGCGGCCACCACAAATAGATAATAGATAATAGATTGTAAAACAACAAAGAGATACAGTAAGATTGTCAGTAAAACTGCCACCCATTGTCGAGTAGAAAAGTGGTTGCCCTAGACAGGTGGACATCTTAGAGTAGGAAGTGGTCATTTGTACAGGTAATTGTCTTGTACAGGTGGTCATTAGAGCAGTTTCAGAGGGACACATTAACCCTATCCGTACGTCGTGTTTTACTTTCGTACCCATACGACGCGGGGAACTCTGTGCCATCATTTTCAAAAGAGAAAATTCACTTGTTAATCCGATCCGTATGCTTTGCATAACAGTCTGTCAAAATGACTTTTTGAAAAATACAAAAAATTTCAAAGAGATCGTACTAGAAATATTCTAAAATGGGAAGAATACAACCCCGAGGGTACAAAATGATGGATGGGTTAAACTGCCATCCATTGTCAAGAAGCAAAGTGGTTGCCCTAGACAGGTGGACATCTTAGAGTAGGAAATGGTCATTTGTACAGGTGATTGTTTTGTACAGGTGGTCATTAGAGCAGTTTCAGAGGGACACATTAAATGCTAAGAAAAAAAAGTCTAAAAACACCGTTCAGAAAAATCAATCTTCAGACAAAGTGTTATCACACAAAACTCGAGTAATCACAGCATTTTTGTTTTAGTAGAGGGTTTTACGGCGCTCGCAACTGCATAAGGTCATATGAGCGCCAAGGGGTGGATGTCAACAGAGGAGTCCTTACAGGGAATCAGACTTACTCTGCTCACCTCTCTAGCCTCAACAGCACAAAGTCTGCTTCGACTATCAAGGCACCCAAAAATAAGGGGTCACAAGAGGCTGACAAACACACAAAAGAAGTAGAGGAAAACGATGATAGTAAGGAATAGGAAAGAAAAAGCAGCAGTTCCTCGTTGCAGTTCAGGCACAGTTATGAGCATGACATTGATGAATCAGCCAATTTACAATTACAATTCTACTCTGCATAAGAACATAGTAAAGGTCCCCCCTTTGGGAATGGCCTACCTAAAGACACTTCAGTTAGTAGCAGATAACATTTGGTCACTTTTAAGCACAAGGGGGCTATCCCGAAAAATGCTGTTTTGAGAAAATCAAAGGTAGAGTTTTTGTTCGGTTTCATTAAAAGACAAGGAGAGTTTTCTCTTTAACCAAACAAATATACACACTAGTGAAACCAAACTTCTCCTGTAGGTAGAACAATGCCCACTTTTGGAGTAGGTCAAGATTTCTAGAAACCCCTGAAATCTGGGTTAGCCCGCTTGTCCTTAAAAGCGACCATTTGAGATTGACTACTTACCCAGGACTCTCATTCTCCTTCTGACTCGCGTCACCTTCAGCACTGTCATCGTGACTCTTGGTGGCGTGCGACGTTTTCCTCAGCGACACGCGCTGCAGCGCTGCCAGAGTGACCATGGGCTGTTTGCTGGGCGCAAGTGGCTGAGGACGAAACAGATCGGATTTATAAACAGGGTTCCTGCCATGAACTCCCCACCAAACTCAAGGAGATTTCAAGGAGAAATTTTTAAAATTCAAGCAGATTTGGTCAAGAAATTCATGCCGTTTTCGACGGCGCACTCGCATCCTGAAAGCATATTTCCGAAAGATAGACCTGCACTTGTCCAAAAGGAATCATAGTTACGATTGTCCTTCAAAAATGTTGTTCAAGTCCGAACCAGCGAAATTCAAAGAGTTTTCGAGGAGGTTTCTCAAATTCAAGGAGTTTTCAAGGACCCCTTGAATTCAAGGGGGCCGCTGGAACGCTGCATAAACTACTGAAAAAAATTTCAACTTGCAAAACCTTCTCATAAAGATTATTTCAACAACCCCACCCTCCAACCTTTGTGGAAAATCTAAGTTATGCAGACTTACCAACACCTTCAAGATAAAAAATAGGAGCTTTCCACAGAATCCTTTTAAAAAACTTGGAGTTTCACAATTTATCCAACAAATCCAACAAAGAAAAAGTTCCATGCAAACTCTAATCCAACGTAATAACGCACAAAAGTTGACATTTGATCTAATCAAATCTTGGGAACGTCCGTCTTCTACGAAGCGATGGAAAACAAGTGAGGCTTCCGTTTACAAGCAGTGCGCACTAATTTCACAATGACTTGACGACCAATTGCTTTGAGTCCATTCATTGAATGGGTACCCAGCTAGTCTCACATATTTACCAACCTCCCGGAACTTCCCCCAATGTGTCCCTTGTGTGACTATGCATATGAGACTGTGGATCATCACCTGTTCCACTGCACAGCCCTAAATGACATCAGAGCTACCCTTCTCCCTCCGAGACCTAACATTGACAACACACTCTATGGAACTTTACAGCAACTGCAGCAAACCTGCACTTATCACTACATGGCATTGGACAGAGGGGCGAGAGCCCAGCAGTTGCTGGATCGATAACAACAACAACAACATCTACCAACCTTGGCAGCGAGGTTTCCACCCTCGTTGACCGGTGACCGCTGGACGGGGCCACCTGTCCTCTTGAGCTTCACGCTCCTCAGCGCCTCAGCGGTGATCTCAGGCACCGGAGTCCTGCCGAGCCCCTGCGACAGAAAAATGATCAACTGATGAGGAACAGACAGACAAGTGGCGTGTAGTCCATGGCACGGGAGGTGTGCAGCAGACCTGTTTGTTTTCGTTCGTGTCAACTGCCATGCTAGACACAGACTTGGAAAAATAGATGACAGGTGACAGGAAAAGAACAAGATAATATTAATACAGTTTAAGGGGGGGAGGGGGGTTAAGAGTATCCAAAGACTCAGATTCTGAGAAACTTTTAAAATCTTTGTCCGTAAGAAATCAGGGACGACTGAAGTTGGCAAAAGAAGAAACAAAACAAAAACAAGCAAAACAGAAGAAATGCGCTGTAAAAACTTCCACAAACAGGTGATGTGAACAAACAGGTGATGTAAATAGACAAAGATGATATGTGAGGCAGTGTGGTGGAATCAGGCGCTCACCAAAATACTGAAATTGGAGAAACAGGCATTTTTCTGCAAGTATGGAAATTTTTATCCAATTTCTATTTTTTGGCTTAACTGCTTTTATGTCCATATCAAAACACATAATTTCCATGTGAATTTTACTGAAAAACTGAAAAACGATTAAATGCACAAAATGTGTCATTTTTCAGTTTTCAAAGACTCTGTAGCTATTGGAGTTACCAAACTTTGGCAGTTATTTTCTCGTTAATTTCAACACTGAAACCAGACGACCTCACCTCCTTCAATCGCAAATACCTTGAGTTCTATTTCAGATAAATGGATGTTTATTTCATTGCAAGCAAGGCAAATAAATCAGCTTTCAGACGATACCAATAACTCCACATGCCAAAAAATAGACGAGCGCCTGATTCCGCCGCATCATGACACATATAATGTTTTTTTCAAGAGCATTCAAGTAGAGAAACCGGTGACAAACAACGACCTCCAACATCTATGCCCCCATCGACACAATTTAGATCATCATTTAGGAGGTGGGCTTTTGACTCTGCCAGTCAGGGTCAACCCAGCCTGAGAGGGATACAACATCCCAGCAGAAAGACGAAGATACTCGATACAAATGTGAGGCAATGTGGTGGAATCAGGCTCTCGTCAATTTTTGGGCATGTAGAGTTATTGGTATCATCGTAAAGCTTGTTCTCTTGTCTTTATTTGGATGAAGAAAATATCCAGAGGTAGGGGTCACTTGTTTTCAGAGGTAAAATTAGTGAGAAAATGGCGGCCAAAGATTAGTTATTTCCTTAGCTAAAGAGTCTGTGATAACTGAAAATTTACTTTTTTTTGCCTTTAATCAACATTTTTAGAAAAATCCGCACAGACATTAGTTCTTTAATGGGCATGAAAGGTGTTGAGCCAAAAAACAAAAATTTGATAAACATTCACAAACCAGCGGAAAAATGCAAGTTTCTTCACTTTGATTATTTTGACGAGAGCCTGATTCCACCATGCTGCCTCACAAATTTTCTCCTCACTTGGGAATTGATCTCAGGTCTCCTGTGTGCGACAGTGATCCAATATCTGCAGCAGATTCTTCACTTGAAGAAGTAAAAATGTTGGCCACAAGCCACTATAATAAGCATTCCACATGACATGAACAAAAAACAAACTTGATGTTCACTCACCCTCCTTTTCTTCATGACCTCATCCTTCGTCTGAGCACCTGTCTTCAACCTTCGAATCACAGGCCTAAAAGAGGGTGGGGGTGGAGGAGGAGGAGGAGGAGGAGGAGGGGGTGGGGGAGGCGGGGCTGGTGCGGTTGTGCTGGATACGAGCAGATCAGGAAGGGCGTAGTCTTTGCCACTCGCCTCCTCGCTCACAAATGACGAAACCTCGGACACAGACGGCCCACGAGAATGAGCCCCGGAGTCCGACTCGGTGCAGCTCAACAACCTGAACAAGTAATGGAGATAAGAAAAGACTTTAGTACACACAGAGATGCTAACTACACATGATTTTTTTTACTGAACTTTTTCGGACAGCCATCTTTGAAAGAAAACAGTTGCGTAACTGTCATCATACAAGACACACACAGACAGAAAAATGATGTTTCTAACCTTATGGCTTAAGCAACTTATGCTACAGCAAAATTTCTTAGATCTAGATATTAAATCAGTAAACGCCAACGAACTCATGCCACTCTCGAACTGAAACAAATCCACAAATTTGACCCAACGGCACTCCGTTAATTTTCCATACTTCCACAGTTCTGTAGGTGGCTTGTTTGCATATCATACGCCAATTTTTCTTTTTTCGGATTTCTGTAGACTTACAGAAAAACGACATCACTGAGTACACAATACTCTCTGGCTAAAATTCCACCACTTACAATCCCCGCTGTAATTAGAAAATAGAATTATTACAACACAAAGTCACGCCTGAGATCCCACTTTGAAGGAGAACACTTGACAAGACCTCACATTTTCCTTGCTGCGAAGCACAGGGATCTTTAGCAGAGGCTACTGTATACCACTTCTATCATTTCCTTTTGCTGTTGTAGTAATATCGCGGACATGCTGTCTCACATCCAAATGACAAAGAGAATGACTTGGAAGTTGTTTCAAACCAGGCTTTGCCAACTGTTCCAAAGCCCAATCAGGGATACTAAGCGCTATAACATCACATTATGTTCATCATCATCCGTTGCCTTGCCGACTAGCGTGGCCAATCATGGACCTCCACTTCCATCTGTCTTGCGCTGCAGCAATGGTGTCTGTTGTTCTAGTTCTTGCTGCTCCCAGCCATGTTGTAACTACTTTCTATTTCTATTGTGTACTAATTGGTTTTGGTCCAGTGTAAGAAACAAGGCTCTCAAATTATCAATAGCCCAGTAATGGAGGGTTCCTGAAAATTCTGGACAGCTGGCAAGCCCGCATAACCAATACTGATCTCTAACAGCAAATATGCACCGCTAGCTAAGTTGATAACATACCGGACTATGGAGCAGATGGCCTTGGTTTAAATCCCAAAACAAGACATTCTCAACTTGGTTTGGGGAGTTTTGGTTCAGGCTTAGAAGATGGTGTTGATAGGGGCGTTAAACCTATACCATTTACCATTTTTATAGAAGATGGGTGTTAAATTTGGAAGTTCTGTCTCTTAATATCTTTACAGTGTTGAAAGGGGCTTTATACCCACATATTGAAGACGTTCCCCCCCATAGTATGACACTCTTACACTTTCCTTGCCTCCAAACATATCAAGATCTGAAGGGTGGGAAGTAGCTCTATGTCTACCACCAAGGCAAAGCGACGTCATGCATTCTGCTTCATATCCCCTGGGGGCGGGACTACTGACTGAAGTGTCTTTAGGCCATTCCCAAAGGGGGGGACATTAATATGTTGTTATGCACAATAGAATTGTAAATTGTAAATGGGCTGGTTCATCAATGTCGTGCTCATAACAATGCCTCAACTGCAACAGGGAACTGCTGCTTTTTCTTTCCTAATCCTTATTATCGTCATTTTTCCTCTACTTCTCGTGTATGTTTCCGGGCCTCGATAGTCAAACCCAACTTTGTGCTGTTGAAGCTCTAGAGAGGTGAGCAGAATGTTAGCCTGATTCCCTGTAAAGACTTCTCTGCTGACATCCACCCCTTGGCACTCATATGACCCTATGCAGTTGCGAGCGCCGTAAAACCTGTACCAAAAAAGAAAATTTTAAAGACTACTTCAATATCATTTGTCAAAGATGCAAAAGCCAAACATACCTTGTACTAGAGGTAGACGAAGAGGATCCTGGGAGGAGACCGATGTGGTCTGCTGCATCCACGCTGCTCCCCACCAGTGTCACGCAAGAGCGACTCGGCTTCAAGCACGCAGCACAAACGTGATGACGGCACACCCCGAGAGAGCCCAAACCAGAAGAATGGGACCGGACCTCCGCGTTCACCTGCGAACACAATGGGGGAAAATGATAAACCATTCAAACACTAAGTGATATACGACTAAACCCCAGTAATTAGATTCATCATCATCCTCGTTGCATCATCATCCTCGTTGCCTTTCTCACCCTGGATCAGGATACAGGCCACAAACAAACACTTTCCACGTTTCCCTATCCTGGGCGTCGGGCGAGTCGCTTGATGTCACTCCTTGTTATCCCACTTTTCTGTACATCCATTTCTGTGACTGTTCTCCAGGTTCCACATGGTCTTCCCCTTGCTCTGTTACCCAGTAATTAGATTACCAAATACTTAAACAAAGTATCCACCTTGACAAAGAGTACATTTTCTTTCCTCAGACAACTGGCCATAGTTATGTAAGTTTACAATTGTTAGCATGGCTACTTTCTCTCCTTCACACTGACAAATTAACAATTCTTAAATTCTTAACGAGGGTGCGGTGGCGGAGCGGTTAGTGCGCCCGTCTCCGAAGTGGAAAGTCCGGGTCCAAACCTCAGTTCAGACACTGATTTTTTTCACCCCCTCCTGCCCACCCAGCAGTAATGGGTACCTGATTTTGAGTTGGAGAAGTAAAGACGGCGTGGAAAGGAACTGGCCACCCTACCACAATATGCCGAAGACCCAGGAAGTTGTCTCACTAACAAGGTAATCTCCAATGTTCGGATCAGATGCGGGAACAACTTTCTTTTACGTTACTATTTCATAGCCACTCAAAGTTCACATTGGCATTACATACCTGACTGATTTTAGCAGCTTCCAACTCAGCCTCCAATTCAGCAATCCTAGCTGACAATCTTTCAGACGTCGTAAAGCCAGACAACAATTCTCTCGCTACTGTTTTACTCTAAAGGGAAAAGAAAAGATTAGAAAATCAAATTTAATGATAATGATGTAGCTGGGAAATAAATGTTGCACAAATATCAAATCTTATGGCCCCACTTGACATAACCCCCCCCCCCCCCCAATTTTAGCTGAAAAAAGATAATATATTACTTTTTTAACCTTTTGACAGAAAGAATAATATTCAAAATGGTGAACTGAAGAGAAGTATTTAAAACCAGAGAACAGGTTCAAACCAGTTGTCCCAAATACTGGCAAGCTTGCTGAAAACCTTGTGATATGACAATAATGTACAGTGGAAATTGCCAAAAGACAGCCATCCATTGTTGAAGAAAAGTGAAAGTATATAGTATATAGACAGAGATGGCCATTTTACACCATATCAACATAAGGTAAAAAATATGGAAGGGAGAAAATGGGAAGTATCCGTTTGTACAAGCGGTTGTCTTATACGGGGGGCCGTTAGAGCAAGTTTGACTGTACATTTCTTAATCGTCTTCAACAGTTGCAAAAAAAAAAAATTATAATCCAACGAGCTTGGCCACTTGTGTCTCCTAAATTATATATATATATCTCAAGTGCCCATTGCAGGAAATTTTTGTCGAATCCCTATTTTTTAAATAAATATGATTTGATAGAACTGAGGGAGATAACAGATTTACACTGGCCAGTGCACACTTCTAATATATATAATATAATTATGTAAATGTTGACGTCCTTTGTTACTTTGTTACAGGCTGGGTAAACAGTGACCTCTCATCTCACTTACGATTTGTGTATGAGTTCTGGGAGGGGCTTATGGGTTATGAAGGATCACACGCTTACCTCATCAGCAACTGAAAATTGGTAGCTATTGGTCAACAGTGGGAGGGGCCTACGCAACATGATCGGTTGGAGGGACTACCAAACAACAACGACAGGGGATTGAATTATGACGGCTTGCCCACAACGCCAGGGGCCAGTGCACAATTTATGACAAAACGTAATGGAGTCATTAAGGTGGCCGTCTAAGACAGGTGTTATTGCTTAGCGAGCAAGGGGTTGTGCGTTAAAATATGGTGGGCGCGGCCGCGTTGGACAGGTGCCCGTTTTACACCGTTAAATTATATAGAGAAAACTCAAGGGGGGAAATGGAAAGTGGACGTTTTTACAGGTGGCCATCTTATAGAGGTGGCCGTCAGGGCAGGTTTGACTGTACACCTCTTCTAGGTTCTGAACTCTATACACTGTACACTTGTATCTAAACATTACAACATTTTCTTGCTTCCCTACAGCTGAGCTAGTACCCTCTGGATGGAGCATGAGACTGTTGCTGTAAGCAAGGGGTTCTCTTAACAGACATGAAAGTCCTATCTCCCACGGGCCGCTCCCAGTCCAAACTGTTGTGCAGTGAGAAGCAGGCAGCAACCTGGTCACATTTCTTAACCACGACAACGACGTCATATTATTTTTCAGCAATTGAAAACAGGTCCCTTTTGTAAGTTCTCCCATGAATCAAAGAATTATCAAAACAAGTTCATTAATGAAACCTCTCATGCAGCTAGTGTGAAGAAAAGAACACACAAAAGAGGCTAGCCGTACTTAATGACGGCTAGACTCGCAGTCTAGCCGTACTTATTCTTAATATTATGATGGCTAGACTCACCATTTACAAAAAATAGGCCTACTGAATTGTAAATATACATTTTTAGTGTGCAGTACCTAAAGTATTTGTATTTGAGACGAAACCAGGTGCCTTAATGACAGTGCATGTATTTTAAACCTCCTGTTTTCTAATGTTAATAGGGCCTAAGATAAGTACGGCTAGACTGGCAGTCTAGCCGTACTTAAGTACGGCTAGACTTCTTGTCTTGCCGTACTTAAGTACGGGTAGACAGCCAGGCTAGCCGTACTTAAGGACGGCTAGACTGTCAGTCTAGCCGTACTTAGTATTGATGGCTGAATTGTAAATGAAATTTTTAGTTTGCAATGCCTAAAGTATTTGTA